TCAGCACAGCCTCCAGAGCGGGGAGGTTTGGCTGTGTCGTTTCTATTCTGCTCGTTTCTGCTTTGGAAGGGAATGGTGGACGCTGTCTCATGGAGGAGGAAATGCACCCAGACTCCATTATCAGGTCGTATTTATTATTAATCCCGGAGGGTGCAGGCGGCATGAAGAGGCGCCTGCCGCCCCCTGCTAGCGACATTTCTGTGCGCCAGAACCTGGTCTCCTTGCTGCTGACGCCAGAGGTGAGAAAGGGCAGTGACAAAAACATTAAGGGATGAAAAATAGTCTCGGCCAAAGGTCACGGGAGTTGTGAAAGGTCAGGGAGGGGGAAGCAAGGGGTTGCTTGGTTACTGTTCGGAGCCCAGGGACGGCTTTTGGTGCATCCCTGTGAGCAGGCAGCCCGAAGGCAGCGGCACAGCCCAGCCGACAGGAGGCGTGCATTTAGGTGAGGTGGGGCAGTGCTGATCTCCTGAAAGCCGTGGGCCAGCGGGCGGAACTGCAGACATTCGATCCCTGGGCACGTAAGGAGGACAGAGATCCAGTCCTCTGAGGGAGGAACACAGGCCGCCTGCTTGAAGCAGGACCATGGGCTCTTGGTCCTGAGCTCACAATTATCCTACAGTGATGGCCTCAATGTCATATCCAAGGATTCCCTTAATGTGAAGACATCACCCTGCAGTGAAAATCAGGGAAGACTTCATGGAGGAGGAGGCATTTGGATTCAGCCCTGAGTTGGAGGTGTAGAGATGGTGACAAGTGGAAATACAGGAGACGGCGATTCTAGGCAAATGCAGCAAAGGCACGGAGACATTGTGTAAACGGGATAAGTGATAACGTTTCGTATTAATGATGCAGACCTGGGGGTAAGCCCACGGTTTGAATCCCAGCTGTACTCCTCACCAGTCACAGGGCCCAGGAGGGCCTGCTTGGCTTCCAACCTCCATTTCCTCACCTACGTTCATTAATGAGAGAAAGATAAAACACTCACAGAGCTATTGTCAGAATTAAAGGGACCCATATGGAAGACTCAGCATGTGCCTGGCACACAGTAGGTGCCTAACAAATGTTGTAGTGATAACAACAATGGCAGGGATTATTAATATAAAAAAGAAAGTGATTCAATTTAAGTGCAGGATGGAATGCGTGTAAACATTCACAATTATCCTACAGTGATGGCCTCAATGTCATATTCCTGGCCACAGGGCGTGCGCCTGCCAATGGCATTCTCCTATTTCTGAGCATCAGCCAAGAGGCAGACCTCCAGGAGGCCCCACAGTCGCTGCACCGTCTGCCCCAGCTCTGGGGACAGGCCCTAGGGACCGAGGCCAAGAACCGGAGGGTCTGTGTGGCTCAGGAGGGCGAGTCCAGCACAGTCCCTGGCACAGAGCAGCAGCTCAGCAAATGTGCAAGTTTGTCACCTGCTCCTCCTTCCCAGCTGCCTCAGGGGGTCCGCGACTGAAGAGGGAAAGCAGCCCCAGGTCCTAAGGCCTGCAGGCGGGAGCTCGGGAACACGCTGCTCCAGCTGTCCTCAGCCAGCGAGCCACCATGGGGACTACCTGCAGCCTCGCTGCCTCAGCAGAGCATGGAGCTACACTTAATGAAGCTAGAGTGACCCATGGAAGGCGCGAGTCCCGCAATCTTTTCAGCCTCCTCACCCCGCAATTGCCCAGCATGGGTTTGTCCCAAATACAAGATGCCAGTTCACGGCAAGTGAGCCACAGCAATCGTCTGCCCAGTGGCGTGAAAGACCCAACCCCAGAGTAAGAAGTTCCTCTACCCTTTCAGAAATCTGCGTCTAAGTATGCCTGCGACGTAGGAGAAAGCACCCAGACGGACGGCGTGGGTGCGTTTGGGTCGGCCGCGCGTTAGTGCTTTGGCCCCTAAGCCAGTCAACGCTCTGCGTTCTCATTCAGTGACAGGGGATGGCAGTGCCTCCTGTGAGTGCTGACGTGAAGATGTCTGTTTACTCTTCATTCATTCATTCATTCATCCATTCTCCCACTCTCTTGTCTGTCCAATTCAAGAAAGAAAAGAAACAATGTGACAGTTGTAAGATGTAAGCCAAGGTGCTGCTTTACCCTCCAGGGTCTCCTAGAAAACAATGATTGTCTGTGATATTAACAGCCTCGAAGAAGTGAGATGGTCCGAGAAAGCCTAGCACTCAGTAAGTAACCAGCTCACTGACCCATAATAGGGTGTAATTCTCCATCCTTTAAACAGACTTAAATCATGTATCTATTATGATCTCCGTATCCTCTTTCAATCCCGTGAATATTTTTTAAGATTTTTTAAAACTGATTTTTAGAGAGAGGAAGGGAGAGGGAAAGAGAGAAACACTGATGTGAGAGTGGAAACATCTCTCAGCCACCCCTGCACACCCTACAGGGCCAAGCCCACTCTCCGGCATGTGCCCTGACTGGGAATCGAACAGCACCTTTTGTGCACGGCCAACGCTCAACCAACTGAGCCACACTGGCCGGGACTTGTGAGTACTTGTCACTGCTGTGAAAATCTTAAGGGTCTCAAGATTTCTGTAGGTCCTCTCCCTTTCACAATCAATAACCAACACCACTTGCTGGAGGGCACTGAGGGAGCTCCTGTGGCTGTTTCTTAACCACCTGAACGTTATCCAGAAATAACATGGAAGGGAATCTGAAATCATGTAGACTTTGAGAGGCAGATACAAAGTAATCAACAAGGCTGAACTGGAGGGGTAGGACCCCAGGCAGTAACTTCCAACCAGTTAACAGTAGTCAGCTCCACTCTTCTGTGGTCTACCCGAGAGCATACACACACACACACACACACACACACACACACAAGCACACATGCGCACACAGGCATGCACACATAGAGAAACATACAGACATGCACATGCAGACATACAGAGACATGCAGACACAGGCACATACACACACGTGCACACACATGCACACAGAGAGACACACAGGCATGCACACACAGACACGGACACAAACACACAGCAGAGTGAAGTACAATTTAGTGAACATGGAATAAGGAAAAAAATCAACCCCCTTTTCTGTTTGTGACTCAAGTGATCTTATGGAAGTGACTGCATCCTGACACCGCGCTTCCCACAAATTCTATAAAGTGAGGCCTGCGACGCCCAGCCCATCCCCCAGGTTGCTGTGAAATCAGGTGGATTCACGCATGTGAAGAGACCCTGGGACACGCACACGCCTTTTCCTGTCTTCCTATGGCTCTACGACAGCTACTCAGAGGCTCACCTCTAGGTCACAGGTGACACCCTCCGCGTGACGGTTGTCTCTGTGGGAGAGACGGGTTCAGGAAGCCATGAGAAAGCACCCACCCAGCCTGGGTGGGAGCAGCTGGATGTGGACACTGCCCCTCACACTTGCTCCCTCGTCCCCGGACGGCTTGCCTTGGGCCTGTTAGCGGTGGATTTTCTGCGCATCCTGTTGAGTCATCTGACATTTCAGCAGAATCTCACCTGCCTGAGAGTCTGCGCACCAGGCTCTGCTTCCCAGCCAGCACAGTGCCTTCCTTAAACGTGGGTATTCGGAAAGCTCCCCTAATTGTGCCTTTGTCCAAATGTCTACATGCAAATAGTTGATTTCAAACCCAAAATGTCACACACCCTCCCTCACATTTCCCCTAAGCCTGAAGATCTGATTGTCACGGGGAAATTCCACCTACATTTACCCAAACACAAGTCTGGTACCTAGATGCCCTGTGTCTGCAAAGACTGCTGGGGGGAGGGGGCGCAGACTTCCCAGGGACAGCGGCTGCAGGCCCGGCACCGAAGCGCGCCCTGCACGCTGCAGAGCAGCTCACGGCCTCAGCCCCTCGCGGAGCGGCGGGACGGGCGGGATCGCCAACTGCCAGGACAACCGCCCGGCCGAGCGTGTGCCGTGTGCCGAGGAGCTCAGGGTCTCCCCCGCTCGGCTCCGTGGCCGTGGCAGGGCTCCCTCCTTCCTTCCAGGGGGCGGGGAGTTTGCGGGAGGGGTGGGAATGTGGCGTCGCTGACTGCAGCGGTGAACGTGATTAGATCCATGTCTCTCTGCCTGGATCTCGGGCCGCGGAACGGGCACATGCCCGCTGTGCCCAGATTCCATACCAAGTGCCAACACAAAACCCCCTCTGCTAGCAAGTCCCTTTCCTCAGCAGCGTTTCTCTAATGAGCGCACGCGTGTCCCATAAAGTGCCCTGAATTATTTAAGAGGCATCGCTGTCACCCGTGCACTGAGACTCGCGCGCCTGCGTGTGCCGACGGCTGGGGCGCAGGAGCGCCTCTGGCTTAGGGAGGGGAGCTGACAACAAGGTGTATTTGTCTGTCAGATTGGAAGGGCTGCTTTTGTGTGTGTGTGTGTATGTATGTGTGTATGTGTTTGTGATGCATGTGTGTGATGTGTTGTGTATGCATGTGTGTGATGTGTGCATGTGTGTGGTGTGTGCATGTGTGTGTGTGGTGTGTATCATGTGATGTGTGTGGTATGTGTGGTGTGTGTGATATTCTGTGATGCATTTGTATGTGTGATGTATAGATGTGTGTGTGGTATGTGTGTGATGTGTGTATGTGATATATGTGTGTATGTGTGTGATGTGGAAGTGTGTGTGGATGTGTGTGATTCATGTGTATGTGCGTGTGATATGTGTATATGTGTGTGATGTGTGGATGTGTTATGTGTGTGATGTGTGTGTGTGATGTGTATGTGTGTGATGTATATGTGTTGTGTGTGTTGTGTGTATGTGTGTGATGTGTGTATGTGATATGTGTGTGTGTGTGATGTGGATGTGTGTGGATGTGTGTGTGATTCGTGTGGATGTGTGTGTGATATGTGTGTATGTGTGTGATATGTGTGTGTGTGATGTGGATGTGTTTGGATATGTGTGTGATTCGTGTGGATGTGTGTGTGATATGTGTGGATGTGTGTAATGTGTGGATGTGTGTGTGTGATGTGTGTGTGTGTGTGTGTGGGTGTATGGATGTGTTATGTGTGTGGATGTGTGTGCATGATATGTGTGTGAGGGTGTGTGATGTGTGTGTGTGAGGGTGTGTGTATATGTTATGTGTGTGATATGTGTGTGTGTGATATGTGTGTGAGGGTGTGTGATGTGTGTGTGTGTGTGTGTGTGTGTGTGAAGAGGTAATGATGAGGACTGCTTCCTAAGGTGAAATGATAAAGTAGAGAGCCACTCTCTCCTCCAGCCTTGGCGTGAGCTGTTACTGTGATGTGATCAGCGATAAACAACCACGGGAAGAAAGAGAATATTTCATAGTAATTAGAGGTGTTTCTCTCTCTCTTTCCTCCTTTCCTTAGTGACATGTGCTCCGGCCTCTAATTCAATGTGCTGGCCTGCAGGTGAAGGCAAAGAATAGCAAACACAGGAGCGAGTGACATTTCAGAGGTGAGGAGAGTGCGGGCGGGCAGCGTGGAGGGAAGACGTGGGAGCTGGGAGCAGGGGGGGGCGGAGACGGAGAGTGGGGAGCGGGAGGCAGGGTGTGAGGCAGGCAGGCGCCAGGCCAACGGGAGAGCTTGCAGGTAAAAATAAAGCAGAAAAGGCCAGGTGGGATCTGCAAACCGCTCTCATCAACACTGCGACGCCCTCCTGTCACGGGACTGTCAAACAGGCTCCGCGCGTAATGAAAGGAAAAATATTTTATTCAGATTTATTAATTTGAAAATGAAGCCCGCCTGTCGAGAGGGGGACAGTTCTTCTCAATCTGTCATCGTTGAACCACGCGCTCCTGACACGGGGATTCATTTGTCTTGTCGGCTCTGACAGTTGGATTCTCCCCGAGCTCTTCCCAGTGGATCGCCCTGGGATTTTAAACCGGATGAAACACATTCCGACAAGGAACAGCCTCTTTATTAATGCAAATTACATGAGGAGGAGAGGAGAGGAGAGGGGAGAGAGACGCCAGCGCGCTGCGGCGCTCCCATCCCTGTAGCAGTCATTTGTTATTTACACTTATACACATTTTTCAGTTTTAATAAAAGGAGACCCGGATTCTCTGTGACATTTATGGACAGTTTGTTTCAAAAAAAATGATGCCATCGCTATAATTGTATGCAAAGCCACTGCGCCAGGCGCCCCTCTGCTGTGCGCGCTCGTCGGGGGAGCCGGGCCGCTGGTCCTGGGCACAGGGGTGCAGGTGCCAGGGCTGCCCCCCTTGAACCCAACGACACTTCGAGGGGCTGCCCTCTGTCTCCATGCAGAGCCCAGGGCTGAGCGTAGCGCCGGAGCCTTTGGGGCAGAGAGATCCACCCCCTCACCACGGGCACACCTGGCACAGTGCCTACCTGAGGGCTCACGGAAAGGCTCTAACTTCAATGTCTTTTAAAGTCAGAAGAGACCCTGGTGGGCATGTAATGCAAAGGCAGCCTGGACTGCACGCGTCTGTCTGTCCAGTGGGCGGAACACAGCGCATTTCCTGTTTTTCATGGAGGACGGGACTCCCCACGGCCAGAGGCTCCTGCAGCCATGGCCGGGGCCTCATGGTCCCCGCGACGCGCTCTGGGGTCTCGGGGCACGTGACTCCCCGTGTTTCCAATGCATGGAGTCTTCCTTGGGGGAGGCCAGCAATGGGGACACTTCCAGGTGGTCTCAGCATCCTGCAGGGCCGGCTGGTCGCCTCCTCTGTGCCAGAAGGGCAGCAAGCCAGCCCTGGGGGGGTCTCAGCCCCTGGCAGGGATGTGGCCCCGGAGATGCCACCTCCACGGGAAGCTTGGGCACAGCCGGGAGAGAGGGCGACGGGCCGGGAGTGGCTGCGGGCTCTCGGCTGTCCCCACTGTGGGCACAGCATGCCCAGCCCTGGCCCCTCCTTCAGTAAAGGGGTCACCTAGGCAACTGCAGTCACTTCTCGGGCTCTCAGTTTCCCCGTCGGTAAAATGTGAGGTTAGCCGTGAGCAGATTCTCAAAGCGCTGCCCGTCAGAAGCCTCAGTCCCCGGGGCTTGTCGGCAGAGCCCAGACATGCTGTGCCGGCATCTCGGGAGGGACGCGGGGGTCAAGATGGTCCAATGTCCCTGGGGCCACAGACGCGGGGCGGGCACAGTGGCCGCTGCAGCCCCGGGGTCCTGGCCCGAGAGCAGTGCTGCCATCGCTCGCTTCCACAGCCTGTGCAGTGCAGCCACCGTTAGGAGCACGTTGCCTCTGCTGACCCTGTGGGCTCGCCCTTTCTCCTCCTTCAAGTTCAGGTTCTTCATTTAAAGCATCTGGAAGAGGAGGAGTTTGAACCGAGCAGTGAGGCGGCCCAAGGCCCCCAGGGTCTCATCTCTCCGAACGCGTGTCCGTGGCACCGGTTCTGCGTCTGAGACCCGGGCCTGAGCCTGAGCCGCCTGCACCAGGGGTGCGGCCTCACACAGGTACGCCCCTTCGCCCTCCTGGAAAGTGTCTTCCAATTAAGTGGCAGGAAAGGACAAGACAAATGACCGAGGACACTGAGCTCTTTGGTGACCTGTGAGGACGCTGCTCATGGAAGTGGGGACAGGGCCTCCCGCACTCGCCACACCCACGTGCAGAGCAAGTGCGGGCCGTGCGCGGTCAGCGCCAGGTACACGTGCAGTTTAATGAAGTCCCCGCGGCGATGGATTAATATTTAATAGAGCTTGTCAGCAAGACGCCATACACGGCTGGTCCTGCCTCTTTAATGCTTGTTAGTGGTTGTGCCTTCCTGGTGGTTCTTTCATGTGAGGCTACTCTCTTCCTTTCAGCATCACCGCCAGGTCCGTCTGCCCTTCCCCGGCCCTTGTGTTCCCTGGGGTGGGGGGAGGCGCTTCCTGAGTCCTCTTCTCTCCCCGGGGCCAAGGGCGGGAGAAAATGAAGGTTTGTGTGTTTGCTGCTGTTCTCCCTCGTAGCACGGCTGTCGAAGACGTGCCCCCAAAGCCGTGGCTGCATTGCTGCTCTTCCCACAGTTATCGACATAGTCACATGTGTACACACTTCTGTACACACACGGATACACACTCATGTACACACAAGACTCGTAAAATGATACATGGTCAAGTGACATATATTAAAAAGTGTAATTTTGTTTTGACTTCCTACTTTCGAAGTTATTAGACACTCTTAGATGAAATATCATACTGGGATGTCCAAGAGCACACGAGCAGCAGGCCCAGGGTGTGCGCCCTGCGCCCGTGGTTGGGAATGCCGGGAGAGCCGTGATGTGGAAAGAGCACCGGCCGAGGCCAGTGGCCCTGTGTGACAGGCGCCCTGGGTCACCTCGCTTCCTCACTGTCCCTCAGCTCCGGTCTCTCCGTCACAGAACACTTACACCGGGAAGCGCAGGTGCCCCTCGCTGGCACTAGCTCAAGTGCTCATTGGTTGCGCTGGTTCCCCCCCCTGGGCCCCCCCACACCGTACTGAGTGTCTGCTCCTCGAGGTCAGGGGCCTTGCGAGCTGGTCAAAGCCCCCGCCCCCGTCTCCCTCCTGCCAGGTGTGGGCACACCCTGAGAGAGAGATGAATGGCCAGATGGAGGAGTGAATGTTCTCACATGAGCCACCCGCAGGCACAGAGAGAAGTAGGAGCTTTGGTCCCAGGCCCGTGGTGAGCTGCATGAGCGACAGGAGGACCCAGGCAGCACATCCAGCACGGGGGCTGCCGTCGGACGAGCCAGAGGCTGGAAGCGTTTATCCCTGTGCCGGCCAGTAGCAGGTGCACAATAAACGCCACCTTTACGTGACCACAGCCTCAAGTACGCTGTGCACTTCAACGCACTGTCGGGGATAACACGTCTCCGTGTCCCCGCAGCCCCTGGATGAGGAAGGACAGGCACCAAGAGCGTCATGAGCATGTGCTTGGCTGCCTGCGTCGTGAGGGCCAGCGCCTGGCACAATGGAACACGCCCCTTCTGCAAGCCCCCAACCCACAGGCACTATTCACCAAGGAGTGAGATGGCCAAGGAACTGGCCAGTGGTTGTGTTGGCCAGACATCAGTCAAGAATGAGAAACAAAAGTCCTTAGAACTCTAAGGAACAAAAACCTTGCTTGCTGCGTCCCCCTGGGCAGGCGGCATGGCTCCGGGGGCACACAGCTCTGTCCCCCCAGTTCAGGCCACTCCCGGGAACTCAGCAGCACGCTGGGGGCTCAGCACGGTCGAGCAGCACGTGTCTGCTCCTCCCTCTGTGTGACCCCGTACTGGTTGTGCATCTGCCCGAGGCCGCCTGTGCTGTCATCTGTCACCTCCTCCACGCCCAGACTTCGCTGTCCTCCCCAGGCTAACTGATCTGCTTCAAGACAAGAAAACAAACCCGTCTCCCAGGAATCTGCAGGAGCGTTTCTGCAGAGAGAGGCCCACTGAGCCCGACACAGGCCACGGCCACATTTTGTTAAATAGTAATAGTAACCCAAAATGTGCTGACAGCAGCCGATGCCTCACTGCGGGGGAAAGACCAGTCTTGTGACGTTGCCTGGCAACTGTGGGTAAGTCTCCTGAAATATGAAGGGACCCAGTGAGTTAGGGGAGGGCAGGGAGGGCAGGGGATGGTAGTGGGGTCAGGGGAGGGGAG